CTGACAATACTGATAAATTATATATAAGATGAGACTGTATCTAAACTTACTAAATATCACGACTTTCTACTACTGGAAATAAAAAGTCTCTTTTAGATTTCAGGCGCGAGATTGCATTATTCCTTTTGCAAACTCCTATTGAGAGTGTAGAATTATCCAGAAATAGATCAGCAACAGGAAGATCTAGTAAATTCAGCATTAAAAAACCACTGCATGGAGGTAGTAGACATTTTATCGTGAAGTCTGATGATAGCAAAAGACTTCGTAGTGAAAAGTGCCATAGCCAAACTGTGTATAGATACAAAGTATGTAATGTAGCTTTACATCATGATTGTAGTGAAGCTTTTCATGCTTGAATTTTTCAATTGAAATAATCTGCATTTGTAAAAGAAATATAATGTATATTTTAATATTAAATATATTACAAGTAAAGTGATTTGTAGATTTAAAACATTATACAGCTAAAAAGTAATCCAGTGCTCCACTCAAAAGAAACATCGCACGAGTACAATCCTATTCACTAAACATTCCGTAGTCTTATTCCGCTGACGTTGTGCGAACACACAACACTCGCTTTTTCCACAGGTAGGAGCATTTTTTAAAAATTTTTAATGTAAATTTATGTTATAAATGCTTAATTTAACATTTGTTATTATTTTTATGAGAAAAGAATAATTCTCTTTGTAGTTTTGGTGGTTAATTGGTTAAATTAGAGCGACAGAAATAGAAGATACTAGATTTCTTTTATCAAGCTATCAAGGGTTCTCAGTACATTCAATCCATTACGAACCTATACACAAACAACAATATAAAAAGGAGAAATGTATTAAAACTAAAAAAGATAAAACCTGTAATCGACACAACATTTGATCCCACGGTGCAAGGATTATCAGAATTCTACTGCATTACTGGGGGCGGGGGAAAGAAATATTTATTATTGATATTTGACTATTTCCGCAGTAGCTTCATAATTCTGCATTTACAATTTCTGATAAAAACATTTATGATTTTCTGATGTTACCTCCTCAACAGACAATATATATTTTTTATAGTACCCAAAGTTTCTTAAGCTTTGTTTTCAGTTGATGCATTTCAGGAAATCTCCTCACAGTTGCTTTCACATGTTTCCATTATCACTTTTGACACTAATAACCTTGAGACCTGATACAATTTCAGCTATGCTTTGCTTAAAGTGGAGAAAAGAACCCGTATAACTTCAGATGCTTGGCCACTACTTTTAAAAACTATGTGAACAGAACACTATCTCTCACATCAGCTTCCAATGCACAGTGTCCAAGAAAATATCCTACAAGCCTGAAGCAGATTTCAATATTTAATGTTTTTTCATTTACACATCAGTCACCTGAAAATGAAGTGAATGGCATAAAAAAATAGGGATACAAGTTATAGTTACCATCAACAATTTTAATCTCAGCTGATGCTTTCAGGAATAAAATTCAGGATGTTTCAGACAATGCCTTTGTTCAGAGGTTGCAAAACTAATGTGATATTTTACAGCATTAATATCACCTAAAATCTTATTCTTCTGAACTTATGGGCCAAATGAGGTGGTTACAAAAGGAATTTCAGTGAAACTTTAAAGTTGTGTATTCACCTTCTTTAAAAATGTGAAGCTCATCTTTGCCCGTCTTCTTGGTTGACAAAGAATAATTGATTGAAAGATTTCTAAAGAAGGATAAGAAGATAGTGCTGCCTGGAGAAAAATTTTGGAAAAAGAGAAGCCCCCCTTTTTTTTCATGTAACAAACAATATTGTTTATACCTAAAATCTGAATGTGACTTATCCAGTCATAGCCAGTATTTCAAAAGTAACTCAGGGTTCATAGCCACATTTTAGTTAAAAAAATAAGCACCTATAAGCACTTTTCAAGCACATTTTAAGAAAAAAAAAAAAAAATAAAATAAATAAGCACCTGTCTAATTACATCATACAGAACTGCATAACCTTAAAAGAAAAATTAGACTTGCAATTTAAAATATGAGCAATGCAATATTTATTAAGAGAATGAGCATTACCTCAACCATGGAAAACAATTAACTTTTTTTTTTTTTAAATTTTAAATGACAGTTCAATTTACAGAATTAGTTTACAATGAGAGAAAAAAAAACTATGCAGAACTAAACTATATTACAAGATTTAATGATGAAATTTCAGTTCAAAATATAGAAAAATAATAATAATAAGCCATACTAATTGTATTCACTTGGCACCTAATAATAAATACAATTTATTTTCCCACTCATATTAATATTTAAATAATTTAACTTAAATCAAAATTCTGAACATTTTCTAAATTTTCATTGCATAACAGTTTTCCCTTAACATATATTCCAAGCAAAGTAATTTAAGTAAAAAAGAGGAACATTTCTGAAATCAGGACACGGGAAATTGCTTCATGCAGTCATTCTTTAACAGTAAAAGCTTAACTAACCCGTATACTCAGAAACTGCGGAATATTCCGTATAGTCGAGCTAACTGGAAAAAGAGGAGGGGGGGGGGAGATTGCAGCCGTTTTTTAGATTTCTCGGCTAAATAAATGATTTTGACATTTCGATATGTGCATCATATAAAAATAGACCAATGGAACTGAGAAATATTCTGCTTAGAAAGAACAGTAAAACTCTTTTAAGTGTTCATAAATAAATCTCAGACTGAACATCAAAATTAATTATCTCTGCAAAATACCGCAAACGTTATTGCGCAATACATGCGGCGTAATTCTTAAATACGTGATATAACACAATCAAAATCGGAATCAACAGCTGCCGGTATTCGGAGAATAAAGAACTAAATAAAGGAAAAGAAAGAGACTTACTAATCTGGGTTTGGATTTGATAGGCTGCTGCTTCATATATAGATTTATTGCTTGCAAATAGAGGGAAAAGAACCTCCCAACCTCCGTACTGTATATTGTATTGGAAAAAAAAAATTATTAAATTATTCTGACTATTCGATTACTTTCCTTTTATTTAAGCCATTCCGAATATTATTCCTTAGAAACCTAATCTGTGTAAAAATAAACCCATTTTTGGAAGTTTATCTACACTTCAGCAGCTACTGCAACTATATTACAAGGGCGAGTTAAATGAAAGTGAGCCAATGCGAATATATGACAAACAGAGTACTTTATTTAAAGGTAGTTTCCATGAACACTGAGACATTTATCCCATTGACAAATGAGCCGCGTGATCCCTGTCTCATAAAACTCCTTGGGCTGTCGATTCAAAAAGTCTGTAACCGACTCCTTCACGGCGGCGTCCAACACGAATCTGGTACCCTTGAGATGTTTTTTCAGTTTCCCGAAAATGTGAAAGTCGCATGGCGACAAATCTGGGCTGTATGGAGGATGTTGCAGCGTGTCCCACTTGAACTTTGCCAGTTGTGTCTTAACCACATCAGCGACGTGGGGACGAGCATTGTCGTGTAGCAAGATCACACCATTCGTCAATCTTCCAGGTCGTTTGTCAATAGCACCTTTCCCGAGAAAATGACAGCCTTTGCTTTCTTTGGAGGTGGTGAATTGTTAAGTTTCCACTGTAAGCTTTGCCGGCGTGTTTCAGGTTCTTAGTGGTGGCACCATGATTCGTCTCCGGTCACAATTGCAGACAAGAAGTTGTCACCCTCATTGTGATACCGGATGAGATGAGTCAAAGCAGCGCCGAACCTCTCCGTCTTCTGGCGGTCGTTCAAAATCTTGGGCATCCATTGAGTACACAAAAGCCGATAACCGAGATGATCATGAATTATGGTGTGAACCGAACCGTGACTGATGTTCACACGCTCTGCCAGTTCATTGATGCTTATCCTCCGTTCTTGTCTAATCAGCCCATCAACCTGTGCAATTGTGTCGGGGGTGATTGCAAGGTGGCTTTGGCCCGGTCTTGGATCGTCTTTGCAACTTTCACGGTTCCTTCTCTGAACCGTTTGCTCCAACGCTTCACAGTGGCCAATGCTATGCAATGTTCACCATACACAGCAGTCATACGGCGACTAATTTCAAGTTGGGAAACACCTTCAGCTGTCAAAAACCTGACCACACCACGCTGTTCCTCTTTTGAAGCGTTCGTTATGTCACGCTACCGTCTTCAACCCAGTGTAAGAGCGCCTTAAAGAACTTTAACCTCACACTTTCGTAAATGAAGGCTGTCTCTGTGCTACGCGCATGCGCCGCAGATGATGGACCGAACCATTCTTGCTGAGGAAGGGTTGGCTCACTTTCATTTGACTCGCCCTTATATTATAAATATTCATACATATGCTCATAATATAAGCATAACGACCATAATAAACACGAATATGAACTGACCACGCTGAACGAGAATGTAAATTATTAAAATCTTGATAGAAATTCAAACGTGTGTAGTATTTGGGTGGGAGGAAAAGAATACCGAATGTACCGGAATTTTCTACGGTTTTCGCAATTTTTTTACCAATAGAACGACGTGCACCTGTCTCTACTCTTGCGCGCACCACAGGTTACGTTAATGCAGAGAAAGGGGGAAAAGCTATCTCCGGGAGTATGATTCACCATCTGACGTTCTATATAAGGAAGAAAAGTTGTTTTAGTTTCGGCTTTGGTACGGGGGGATAATGGGCGTTCATTAAAAAAAGCACTAAAAGCAAAAAATAAGCACTAAAAAAAAAAAAAAAAAAAAAAAAAAAAAAAAAAAAAAGGGGCTTTAAAGAAAAAGTAAGCACCTATAAGGGCCTTTATATTTTATTTTCAAATATAAGGACTTATAAGCACTTGTAAGGACCGCTACGAACCCCGTAACTTAATAACCGATAGATGAACTCGGAAAAGTTCTAGTTTTTCTTTTTTTCGGGGGGGGGCACTGACTCAGTTAAGTAAGCAGATTGGATTTTTACACAGGTGATGTATTAATAAAGTTTCACACATTTATTTTCCATTACAGTACATGGTTACAAAGTGAAAGAGAAAAACTGTTAAAGACAGATATCTAGTAATATAAACTTACTGATTAATGTGGCATCCATGTTTTCATGACCTGCAACAGACAAAACTTGCAATGACAATCTAATAAATATAAATTTAACTCATACACCGTAACAACATCAAAAAAGTACATTATGTTTAAGTAGTATAACTTATAATTTATGGTAATAGAATTTTTAAAATGCAGTGATTTGGAAGAACACAATTTAAAAACTATAGTGCTTCAAAACATATATGAGGAAAGGAACTAAAATAGCATTAGCAGATCAAGTAAAAACCCTCTAAGTCGCACCTAAATAAATTATGGATCATGTTCTTTGAGCAAGAAATATTTAGTCTGTCTACCCCACCTCAGCTTCACTGGCACCAGGAAGTCCACCAGCACCCATGACTTTGGTTTCATCTTTTACACCATGTGAGCATTGCTGAAACCAGCCATTATTTTTTATGGCAGAAGTTTGGCATTGGAAGAATTGGAGACACACTTTTTAGTTTACCCAGCTGCAGAATTATCTACTTATTTCTGCTTTATCTAGTTACGGAATATCACCACAGCAATTGCTATTCTTCGAGGATAGGCACTGAGCTGGCACAAAAACATCAGTAAATTTTTGTTGGGTGAACCAAGCAGTAAAATGTTTCAAATATTAAATGTTTAAAACTGCCCTTGTGAAAGCATCCCTCCCCCAGTGAAAGATAGAGTGAAACTACACATGGAATTGTGAGCAAAAATAAATTTTTAGGAAGCTACTGTATGGATGAAATGAACAAGCTGGTGGAAAAAAGAAGTCTAAATGTTGGCTTTGGACTAGAAAGAATTGAACGCAAGACAGTGAAGCCTGTGTAGTTGGTAAGAAAATTTGTGGATTTATTTGATGATGCCACAGGGTAAAGTCATTAAATCAAAACAGAAACTAGAAATCAGCCTCTTACCAAACAAAACCTTACTGTTATAATAAGATGAAGGAAGACATAATTGAACAACATATTGCAGAAATGCTTAAAATTATAATTCCCATTAATTATTAGCTGAAATATTAGCTGATAGCAGTAGTATAGTGCTGAAAAAATAAATAAAAACTCTCCTATCCATTAATTTTAAAGCATTGTATTTTGCTATTGACTATAGAAAATTAAATAGCATAACAAAATATTAGGTTCACCTCTTGCAAGTAATTGCGGAAACAATTAGCAAAATTAAATCCACAAAATATGTGATGACGCTAGATCTTACCTCTACATACTTCCAGATATGTGTTAAACCAGAGGACCTCATTTATTACCAAATCAGGAGTTTATGCTTTTCTTAGAATTCCGTTTGCCATATATTGAGCACTCGCCATATTTCAATGAGCCATGGATTTATATTAAAACCTCTCCTCAGAAAATCTAAATTTATTTATTTAGAAATATAATAGTAGACACAAGGGATACAACTGATGACTTATTAGGGATATACATGAAATTTGTTCACTTCTAAAAGAAACAGAGTTAAGGTGAATACAGTCAAACGTATATTTTTGGTCAAAGAACATCATTACCTGGGCTATAAGATATCTCACAGGGGAACTGAAATGGAAGATTCTAATATCGTAGCAAAAAAAAAAAAAAAAAAAAAAAAAAAAAAAAAAAAAACATCAACTGCCTAATACGGCAGAGTTGGCCTCATTTTCAGGCCTGTGCTGCAATTATAGGACTTTCACCAAAGATTCTGCACATACAGCAAAGCAATTAATAAACTTAAAAGGGGCGGCCCACCAGCGACCGAGCGGTAAAATTGCTGAACACCGGTAGTTCGCTCCGAGGTTCAAATCCCGCGAACGGGCTGGCTGCATGGGCGTTTTCCACATGTGTAACGTGTATACGAGCCAGTTTCCCTTAGAAAGTCCTCCACGAAGGCATCTCTCCTCTTAGGCAGATAGCCCTTGTGTTTGCCATAATTAAATACACACACACACCAAACTTAAAAGGGAGGGAAAAGGTTTATTTGGTTAGCAAAAGCAAACATAGTTTTGAAAGACATTAATAGAAGCTCTTGTCTGAAAACTTCCTCAAGCAGATGGCAAATTAGAAATCACAAAGATGCATCAGATTTTGCGGTAGAGGCCATGCTTATGTAAGACGGGCAGATGGTGACATATTTTAGCAAGACACTTAACTCCACTCAAAAAAAATTATATCACTATCAGAGGGAAATGTTAGCAGTCCTTGGCAGTACAGAAATTTTGAGTCTATTTTGGAAAAGTTTAATGTTTAATTTTTATTTCGTTGTGTGATTTACCCTGTATACAAACTAGGCAGGCATCGTTAATTTGTATTCTAGGAATAATTTATCATTCAGGCTCATATGATGGGCTCTTAAACTGCAAGAATACAATTTGACAATTAAACGCATGTTGTGCATGGAAATACTACTAAACTGCTGTCAAGGTAACATGCTCTGGATGTAAACAAAATACGGTACTTTTCCGTTTCGCCGGCGCAAGCCTCGCCATTTCCCTTTCTCCGGCGCAAATCTCGCCAAGCAGACTTTATTGGCGACAACACACAGTGTACACATAAAAAAATGTTAACAAATGTTAATTCTAAGAATTTTTTATTATTTTGGAAGCATAAATATTTTAATATCGTTTAGAATTTTTTCAAATGGATCTTTTGTGTCTTTTCGCCACATAAATTCAGCGAGGTAACTTTCCAGATGATGCCGAGCAGTTCCTCTGTGTTTCTTATTCCGCCATTTTGCGCTTCCCCATAATCTTTCAATTTTTGGCGTGTGCGTTCTAGTTTCTGGATCTACAAAATTGTATTTATGGTTCACTTTGAAATGTTCGAAACTTTCCTCTTCCAGTTTTTCAGTGCAATAATATGATTTCCATGAATCGGAATATATTGTAGTTCCTTTTTCGATGTTTTCATTTATTGCCTCTAATATAATACTCATAGATCGGTTTGGCACCATCACAGGAAACATTCGTTTGTTTCACGACAAACTCCACCAAAGATTCCACTTGTTGTGGTAAAATCCGTCCCGCGTTGTTTTTGCGCTTCGTGAACATACTTTCATCCACTTCAACGATCATACCAGGTCCTCCTATTTTGCGTTGTTGACGTTTAAGTAAAGAATCCACGCAAACCTCTCGCATGTAGTTATTCCAATCCACGCACTGTTCCGTGACTGATTTCCAACTGCTTTTCACACCATTTAACTGAACCATTTAACTTCTTCACTCCAACCATAAATGAATCTTAAACACTTCAAGAAACTCAATCTCGATGATTCAAACCATGTGCCTTTCCATATACTTCTTTTACTGCAGCAAGTTGAAAGGTTGCAACGCCATTGAATTTCGTCTCCGAAATATAATTTCATTTCATGATTATTTTCACAAATAGCAATGTTAGGCAAAACGCCTTTCGCTTGAAAAAATCTGACGGATTCTTCCTCTGTCCTGGGCAAATCCCAAATTTTCATTGGTTTTCCATCCATTTTTGACATATTTGTAAAATACGTTAATTTAAGAATTTAAAGACGTTAAATTAAAGATTTACTATGCTTTCATGGTATAACCTCTTGATTCACCGGTTAATATCACGTGATCCCAAACGATCTCATCTCACGTAAAATATGCTACAAAAATCTGATTCTCTCAGGAATTACATTAATTTCATTAATTACTACATTAATTTCAAGTTAAATCTCAGTATGGAATACGAGTTTAAAGTGCAAGAATTATTTCAATATTATAATTAAAAAAATTCTGTGTAACTGTATGCCAATATTGAAAAAAAAAAAGGTAAATCTGATAATAAATCTCAGCGACTTGTTTTGAAAAAGTGCCGTGAAAGGTTATCAGCGAAGATATTCGCTTTGGCACCAGTTCTACCATTTTCAGTGACTTTATCGCTTGCGCCGGCGAAATGGGAAATTGCGCCGGCCAAACAGAAAAGTACCCGAAATACATTGCCTTTGGCTACCAAAGCTCAGTAACATTGCAAGAGGCATAGTGTGTGGGTAGCATCTTCTTTTATTCTTACCTTTATGACATTGTCATACAGACAAGAGATGTACGAGTAATTTTGGCAAAAAGTATAAAGTATTTCTTTAGGAAAATAAATTTTATCAAGCTATCATTGGTTCTGTGTGCATTTGATCCATTACGAGCCCCTACATGCTTAACAATATTTTTGTCTCTGATGCTAATATAAAGTAATATATTAAAAACTAAACACAATATAACGTAATATAAAAATTTTGAAACTGAGTCAGTAGAAATCTTTTTCACGTGTACTTTCTTCCCAACTTAATAAAATGCACACACAAAGAAAGACATAGCATGCTAAATTTCAGACTATAACTTTTTAATGTAAATTTATGGTATTTCTACACTTAAGATTCTACTACATTAAATAAGACCCCCATCAAAATGACATTAATAAAACAAAATAGGAAATTTATCCTTTGGGGAAAGGGCAGTGCAAGATTAACTGTATTAAGATTGCAACAGTCGAGTATTCCCCATATCGAAGAGAAAGGATTACACAATATAAACTGGAGTTTACACCACATAAAAGGCATATGCCACATTTTGCACAAGAAACACAAAATAATAATAAATTTATAATTTCCTCATTTTACTGCCTCTAGTAACAAGCAGTGTTGAGAACAAATAATTTAACTTTTTGTACAAATGCTGAAAATCCTTTATCCAGTGCATAGCTATGCAGTACAAATAAAAATATTAAACTGCACGCTGCTAATGTCTCCAAATTTGTACAAGCCACCAATTTTATGATCTTGAAATTCCATTGTGCCATGCTACAGAAATTAAGCTGCATTTATTTTCTCCACATCATCTGAGGTTGTAGTTTAAGTAAGCCTTCATTTGTGTGCTTTTCAGAGAGCAAAACATGAGGATTAGGCGTATCAACCTTTTATCCATAGAACTTCTTGTTTTCATACTAATTACTAATCAAATCAGAAGGCAGAACGTAATCTTGAAGTTCCTACTTTAAAATAACAGTTTATAGCAACAGTTTCTACACCAAGCTTTCGTTATACTACTAGGAACTTCGTTATATAGTTTTCCTCTTAAAATCCCTAAAATAATTTATTTTTATTTCATGCTTCAATACTAGATTTAATGTTTGTCAGAGTATAACACCCAAGATATATGTTTTTTCTTGGAATAAATAACAAGCAAACAAAATGAACAAGGGGCTGCAAATTTAACGAAGAGCACCTACAGCTTACCACTGATTAAAATTATTTTTAATAATTAACTCGTATTTTTACACAGTTTACTTTGGGGGATGAGCTCATTTGGTTGCATAAATTAAACCAGCATTCTGAACAAGAAGACATACTTCAAAACAAAAAGAACAATGTTCGTACTGTTCTCTATTTCAATATGGATCAATAGAAAACAAATTAATGGCTACAATCTCAATCAAAATTGGTTTATTTTTACTATTTAGCAATTTATGATTTAACAATATTTTAAAATTCTAAATAAAATACATACTGCTGTGGATAAAAACATTATCTAAGTACTGTAACATTAGCTGCTATCACTGATATAATCCCACAAATTTTCCTTTCCTTGCTGTATTTCCCACAGAAACTTTATTCTAAATGTTTGTAAAATAATTTTCCATCCTTCCCCAATTAACAACCTTTTTTTTTTAAGATAAAGGACAGTTAATATATAATCTGTTTTAGTATTATACAATCTAAGCTATAGTAAGGCAATAATGGTTCCCATAACATAGTAATGAATTTTTTTCACTCTTCTTTATCACTATCATAGACAGACAATAAAAATAAGTATGAAAATTATTTGAAGGAACAACCTTTTACAACAGCTTTGCAATTCTTTAATGTTGCAAAAAAACTGAAATTTTGCCAAAAAGGGAAAAAGCTGCTTTGATGTTATTTCACATACAAAAACTAAACAGAATCCATCAAAATGAAAAATCAAATTATCCAAAGTTACCTTTACAGAACACACCTAGATTGGTTCCAAAATTATCAAGCCTTTCGTGATTATTCTTGCTTACAAATACAAGCGAACCTCACAATTCAATAGATTGTTTTTCACATAAAAAGTGAATGATTTCAATTTTTAAAAAGTAATAAATTTTGCTAATACATTCATTATTTATATAATGCAATATGTCAAAGATTTTTCAGCATTTGAAAAAACTTTTTATTGAAAAAACATGAAATTATGCCAGAATATAAATAATTAAAAATATAAATCTGAATGAATAAAATTAAGAGGTACTATTACACTACTGTAATTGAATACAAATTTAAAAAAATGAAAAACTTTACACTTAATTTCAATGACATATTTGATTACCAGATACTAATATTACGAGATTAACAGATAAATCAATATAAAAACATAAAACTTACGTTGTTTGTCAGCCATCATGACCAGAGACGTTGCTATGTCTCTCCTTCGGAAAAAACACATAACTTTTGCTTCAACATTCCCATTTGGAGTCTGGATACAAATATGGATTACAAGTTAAAAAAAAAAAAAAAAAAAAAAAAATTACCAGAAATTCCACTAGTTTTTAAAATACTAGTTCAATAATTTGTACATGTGCATTTAAATGCATTAAAATCTATATTAACCCTTTCAGGACGGGCGTCCCATATACGCATTCCCTAAGAACGTCTCTTATAGCCGGGCGTCCCATCCTCGCATCAGTAAAGATCGCATTCAGAGGACGGGTGATGCGTATACGCATTTTAAGGTGGAACGTTTTCCTGAAGGCCACTAGATGGCATCCTGTGTCCATTACTTTTGAAATGAACACAGTTTTAGGTTCCTGACCTTGAGTTTGATATATTCTGCTTGACTTTACTCATCAGCTGTTTGAGGGTGGGGGGCGGAGGGAAAGCGTAAACAGAGGTGGGCTCTTTAAATCCCAGTGTGCTAATGAAAACATTGCTAATGAAAACATTCTCGTATCTGATTTATATCCAATTCCTTTTTTTTTATTCTATTTTCCTCTACTATGTATGGTCTTTTAGGGTTACTGTGCGGAGTTTTTTCACGTTTTGCATTGCTTTCAGATATATTTCTGTTCCTTCTTTCTTTATTTAGGAAAGCCTCACCTCCAGTTTATTATGGCGGGAAGGCGCTATTTATCAGAGGAAGAACACCCTAGTATGGTTAGCAAACCATTTACTAATGCAAATGAGAGTACTGATTCATTTTCTAAAGAGTTACAAAGTGATACTTCTCTGTGCTTCGAGATTTACCACACTCGTTTTCATTTTAAATTTTGTTACTTCTTTCTGTAAATAGTCTTTATTGTGTTCTTTTTATTAATTTTAAACTTTATTGATGGATTTTATCAATTAAAACTTTGGAATATTTTGAATAGCGCTTCCAAAAATTATTTTAGAAGATAACAATTTTTTAAGTCTATTTTCATGTAAAATAAAGAAAAAATGTTTTAAGGGCTAATTTTAACATATATAAGAGTTCAAGTAATAATATATAATGATACCAAAAATTACGATGCTAGAAGCGAAACTTTTGTTTTTCTGATTTTTGTTATAAAATTAGGCTTAGCAATGCAAAACCTCCATCCTGTACGGTGACTGCTTTCAATTCTCTTCCGCCCTGCACGAGCGTTTTAAACAAAGGTGCACCGTCGCAAAAAGGTTAAATGTTATAAAACAAAGTACTAGCAATAAAATGAAGTTTTCTTAGAATGTCAAGAACAAATATCAGTTTAAGTAGCAGAATTTCAAAAATCATGCAGTGGGAAAGGGGGATACACATGCACAATATGCTTGATATGAAACTGAAGTTTAATCTTTTAAAGCTGTATTTTCCATTCTGGATTTCTTATTTCAAATCACTAATGACAATATCATATTCCAGATCAGTGATTCTCAACCTGGTTTGGCTTCTGCACTTCTCTTATCACTGCTACAAGATTATCCTCCTATCCCAAACCCCAAAAATATATATGTATTTATTTAGATTTACATTATTTTTAATGTGTTTTGTAAATTAAACCCCCCAAAAAAGGAAGAGTATAAAATATTGATAAACATTAAAACCTGGATTAATGTGGTTTTTAATAATAATACAGGGTTCGTACACATTTCTGCACACGGAAATTAAGTACTTTTAAGGACCATCAATGAAAAAAATTAAGGACCTATGAGCAAATGGGAACTGAGAAAATTCAATTAAAAGTATTATATCTATGCCTGAATGTGAGTAGGATGCATTATTATTAAACATAACTTAATTAACATAATTATTAATACGTTTGAGAATAAAATTAATTTTATGAAATTTATCATGTAGCATTAAATATTTTACACTTATAATAACTGGACATATTTGAAAGAAGATAAGTGACATTTTAGTTACGTTTTACTAACAGTTTTTTTTTTTTTTTTTCAATGTCTCATTATGTCACATACTTGCTCAGTCTAGAGGTGTAGTAAATAGCAAGTAGATTTTATGTCAAGCAGCATAGGTTAAAATGAGCATTAAAATCATAATCAGCATGATTCATAACAAAAGACTGGCTGTTGTCACCGCTCCTGCTTGCCTATAGAGAAACCTGCTGATCAGAACAAATCTGAAAGGCCTAATGTAGGCACAGTTATATATAGTGTGAGTTAATATAGAATGATAATTTTTAAGGAAATGCATTTAGTTATAATTAAATTAGGTATTAGATAATATTAGTCATTCTACATTTACATGGCCACTATTAAATTTATTTTTTAATAATATTTGTTAAAAAACCCTATTAATATCACAATCTCATAAGATTTTACAGTTTAAAATACATGCAATTTATGACATTGATTTTTAAACAATATTATATATTGTATTGATTTTTAAACAATATTAACGTGTTTAAATATATATTTTAAACACGTTAAAAGCTACAAAACATAAAACTCAACAAAATAATTATGCGTCTTTTTAATTTGAAGGCCTGCCCAGACATTTTGGCTATTTTATATCGATTTCCTTCTCCTTAAGCATGTTTTCTAACAATTAGAAATTTGTCTCAGTATGCAAAAACAATGTTCTCATTAGTTTCTGAGTGTTTTATCTCCTAACTGCCAACCTCTCCACAATGTACTACCTATGAGGGTTTACTTGATCTGGTAAAAGTTAAATAGTCCGACTCCCCTCCTCGACAGACATGAAACAAATTATCACTATAAATCAGATAATAAATTTAAATAAAGGTTTAAATAAGCTTCTTATTCAAAAAGAACTTGGAACATATAGGCATGTTCTTATGCTAACAAAATAAAATACAGTTTGTGGTGATATAATTAAACAAGAAGAGTGAAATTCAAAATAAAAATATGGACTAGTGGTCAAAAACTATACAATTTAATTTCAATTTAATCTGGTTCAGTAACTCTATTGTCATAATAAATTCAAATATCAGCAGCAGTAATGGAAAGACTAATAATTACAAATCATCAGAGCTAGACAAGAACTATGCAGGGAGCAAGTGGAGTGCAGAAACACTCGTCTTACACTCCAAAAAATTCAGTTTAAAAACTGTCTAAGTAATTTGCATTCTGATGAGGAAATAGAAATGGGAAATTATAGTAAAGGCTGAAACTGTAAACAAATGAGTAATTTACATAATAATAACTGTACATATCTTTGAAGAATAATTTTCTTTCTCTTTACATATTTAGTTTCTTTTTTCAACACGTTTCCTTTTCACTTTAAATTTTTGGGATTTAATTAGACTTCTGTTATTCTAAAAGACTAAATGCATTTAGAATGTACGGAAAAAGCTACTAATTTTATTTCTTTAGTAATACGAACATTCAGAAGAAATATGAAATACATATGGTAAGGTCTGGTCACAGAGCTGGTGTGGCATAATTTTTAGAATTTAGGGACAGACTGAGCAAAAAAATCTTGAAATGGCAAAACTTTTAGAATTTAGAGCAGGCATTGAAAGCAGAATTTAGAAAGGCACCAGGCATCAGAATTTAGGATCCACAGAGACTGCGTCAGGTGGCAAAATGCCTAGTGCCAGCTCTGTGTATGATGCATTAAGAGATATTAGATGAATTTTTTGAATTGTCAGTTTTCAATTTCTTTATTAATAAAAAAATTCCTTTCTATAATGCCTGTCCATATGATAAGATTAGAAGTACTTTTGATATTTTCCATGTTTGTATCTAGTAAAATGTAGAGAAAATAAAGGGAAGATAAAAAATGTTAAGAAAGCGATTCTAGAATCAGAAGTAAAACATTCAACTATCATGTTTTCATTGTTCTTCCAGATGTTCTCCAAACTGCGTGTTACTACCATGGAGACATTTTTCATTTTATCACATTTTTCTAGAATCTTTTAGAATCGTGGGTCTATAAATTTGCCTTGAAATCTTTCTCAACTTTCCAAGCTTCAATGCCTAAAATCCTAAAGAAAAATTACCCCTACCAGTTCTGTAACAGCAAAAATCCATAAATGTTTTTAGAAAAAAAAAATCGGAGGAAAAAAGTGTGAAATTAATTTTATAGAGAAAACTGATGCATAATTCTAGGAATTCTTGAATCATTCTGAAAAATGGGAAACAATTCTTACGATGGGAAAAACTTAAAGAAGACATTTTAAATTAATTATACATTGCTAATTTTGCTTTTGCTAAAAGTTAATTTCATAAACTTATGCTTTTTATAGCATTATACCTACTTTGTCTACTGTCTCTATTTTTCAGATTCAAAAAATTGTATAATAAGTGGCCAAAATGGAACTTTATTAATATGACAGTGAAAAATAAAAATGCTTTACTTTTAAATGTTATTTCTTAAATATAATTCCAGATTACATTACCGTTATTTTAATGAAATTTATCAATGTTATAATGTTCTAAAAAATCGTCTTAAAAATTCCCAGATCTCGGAATTAAAAATTTTCTATAGAAACCGATATTAAAATCGCCAAGTTCAGAACCATTTAATAAAAGAATTCACATCCCCAAAAGCGGAAATTTAGTTGAGAGCTCTTCATTACAAAAAATGAAATAATTTTGAAATGCTTATGTTTCACTTCTTGCTCAGAAACTCGAGTATCCCACCCTTATTTATATTACAAATAGGAACAAATTATAACTCATGAACCCACTCAGAAAATAGCCATATTTGTCAGTGAATCACCAAAAATATTCCTGCAAAATGCTAATTCACACCAAAAATGGCAGTCATAAAAACAAACTCACACCCAAAATGGCAGTCGTAAAAACAAACAGAAATTTCAGATGATTAAAATTAAGGACCTTCTGGCAATTTTGGCCAAAATTAAGGACTTTTAAGGACCAAAAATCGATTCCAAAAAACATAAGGACTTTAAGGACTCTTAAGGACCGTACAAACTCTGTAATAAAGCTAAATAAAAAACTGATTACATCCATCCTGAAACTATCAAATGTCCCCTTTCCTTCTGGTTGAAAATTCTTGTTCTAGATGAGGATGACTTACTATATGAGGATGCTATTAAGCAGATGTTAAGATCTTTAAAAGCAATGATTGCAAGAAAAGCAATTTCACAAAAGTATATCGATGTAATATGATACATTACACTTCTTCCCTCTTGTATTCTCTCCACCAAGATTGGGGAGGGGGGAAAAAAACTGGCAATCAGTTGTGAACAGCTGCAAAACTGGATGTAATAATCATTTTTTATTTAAAAAAATTAAGATGTTTTCCTTATTTAAAAGAAGTTTTATTTATTTAAATTCCCTTTTTTCATATATACTATATGCATCAAAGGCATTACCATGCACTGAAGATTTTTAAAGTAATCAACCTGTAATTAAATTATACCAAGAAACATACTATACATTTTTGCCCATAAACTACCCTCTCACATTTTCTGGTCATGTGATTTTTTGTCACTTAGTATATATTAGCTTATAATTTAAAATATTAGGTTCTCTGATGAAAACATCTTAACGAATGGAAGTTATTGAAACAGACAATGAAATAAGTATTTAAACAAATTTAGTTAACAATGCAGTTTAAATACACGTCTTCATGAGCAGATTCAGAAAGATGTGCCATTCAAGACAGTTAGTATAATAGTAATTTGAAGTAAAATAAATTACACATGATTTTATTACACTTGTGCTAACAAAATAAGCAACCAATGCTGAAAGAAAAGGTAAAAATGTAAAGAGGGGAATTAAAACATACAATTTACATATAATGCAGAAATTGCTTTGCAGAATGCAAATAGATAACCAAAATTAGCATAAAATGCAATCCTGCAGACACTCCACAATGCCTTAAAAAGGGCCACGCTGGACCTATGCGTCAGTTCACAAGGAGTGACAGTTCCGTGTAAGTTCAGATAGCCAAAGAAAAAAAAAAGAGCTGAAGAATACCATCTGCATGATGAAATGCATAGGGAGGCAGTCAGCATGTTTTAAGCTGGTGTAAGACAATCCACTGTTGCGAGCATCGCAACATCATCAGCAGGCTGTGGGATCGTTACCATAGGGACCAAAACCCCTGTAGAAGATGTAGGTCTGGTCGTAGGAGGATTACCACAATGTCAGATGATCGCTTCCTGTTACTATGAGCAAGACGTCATTAGATCACTAACAGCACGACAGCAGGCGTCGCATATCTCTGCTGCTGCAAGATGGGCCATATCCCACTAAGCTGTGACACATTGACTGCATGAAGGTGGATTGTATGCCTGACGACCTATGGTTTGTGTTCCTTTGTCACCATTGCATGTCAGAGCATGGTTAAATTGGGCCTGTGAAGTTCACAGGTGGACACAAGAGCAGTAGGGGTCATGCATGTACTCTTTATGAATGTGTCTCAATTTAACATCCAGAAGAATTCCTGAAGGGCAATGATATGGCAAGAGCCAGGCACCAAACATCATCGAAAGAAACCATTATAGGGAAAGAAACTTAGTAGTATGGACTAGGATAGCTATGAACGGCAGCACCAACTTCTATGTGATTCTTGGTAGTTCCATCACAGCTGTCTGATATCCTGATGAAATTTTATCCCTCTTGTACATTCTTTTATTGCTGCAATGGGTACCAGAGCAATATTCATGGATGATAACAACCGTCAGAAGAGCTCAAGTGCTGCAGAGCTATCTGGAGAGTGAAACAGTTCCACATTTGCTGTGGGAGATGTCAAGAGCTCCGATATGCATTACTACAGGAATGGGAACTATTACCATAACAAGTGATTAACAGAACTAGTGCCAGCTTTCCTCACTGTTATCAAACATGCATTTCAGCTAAAGTATATCATACTTGCTATTAGCGTGACGCTTCCACTGCACATTATCTCACGACAGCACATGTATTCAATACATGTGTTTTTGCTTTATTATTTGCTATGTAGTCTAGTTATGCCACACTGTTGGATTAATTTCATGCATGCACATTAAACAGTTTTTGCTTTATTTTTCTCCCCATTGTATTTTATTTTTTTGAGCAGAAGTGTAGTAAAAAAAAAAAAAAAAAAAAAAAAAAAAAAAAAAACCAGCAGCTTTTTGGCATTAGTTACTTTAAACACAATTTTAAATGATTAGGTTACTTTTTAGCATATAAATGTTAGGTTGGTGTATTTATATACACAAAAATCAAGAAATAATCATCTTAATGACAAAAAAGTTGTGATTACTTTTTGAAGGGATCGTCTCACAGATGTAACGACTAATAGATATACATATGGACTATTGCAAAGAAAATTTTTCTAAATATACATATTAGCTAAATTTTTCACAACAACAACAACAACAACAACAACAACAAAAAAAAAAGCTATTTTTAACACAGAAATTATATTAATGGATTCTTATTCATAGTACAAAGTTTACTTTCATTACCTTAATAAGCTCTTCAATTCTTCTGATTTGATAAGGTGATGTAGATGACGTTTCAAAATAGACATAATCTGAAAAAATGTTAAAAACATTAAGTCAAATTATTATATTAATTTCAATACAATAGAGTAAAAAGCATCCAATATTTAAATCTTAGATGCTTAACCTTATATTACTGTTTGAGGTGCTATTAATCTCAAAACTCACTTTTTGTCCGCATCACTTTAATGCCAGAATCCCTTTTCACATTGTTGCCAAAATATTTTTTTTTTTTTTAAATTAAATGATCAAGAATCTGTATCCATGTATGTTCTTCATATTGTGGAAAACAACAGCACACAGAGCCAACAAATATTGAATACATGTAGTCCTCTACCCGAAATTAATTTTTTAATAATGATTCAGGGATTTGAAAGTAAGAAGGGGCAACACTGTTCAAAATAAAACACTTTAATCAATTTTGCAGAAAACAGATTAAGGAAATATAAATGACAACCATCTTACTCAGATAAATTCGGCATTGTTTGCATTAACTGCCTTCGGTGCTCCTGCAAGCAAGACACATTCTTGATTCTGAATGAGATTTCTTAAAATTCATTACGAATTTTATTTTCACGCTATTGTGGCCTTCTTATAATAATTACAAACATAAGCATCAGTTTGCATTTACCAACCAATATACGTAAGTAGAGAGGGTAACCGGTCCATGCAAAAGCTTATGTAATATTCACCCCTTTTTTTATATTTTTCATGTTGCTTTCAAAGATCACTACAACAGCTGGTTTCTCATTCTAGTTCTCTTCTTTTTACCCTATTTATAGGCATTTCAGCAACATATAAAACTATTCACTACTTTATTGCTTCACCCTGCCTATGAGAAAGTTTAACGAGTTATTTTTATGGCCATTTTAATGAGAAATCATATGAAGTGCTAAGTGGCAGAGTAGTTAGTATTCAAGGGAAAACCAGCCTTCTTTTGTTATAAATAGTCAGCTGAGATGTCCTGTAAAGTAGGACTTTCAGTTTTTAAATTCTCTTCCTGGGGTAAATTCAGTTCCTGTCACTTGACACTTTTTTTTTCATCATTTCATAAATGAGATTTGTAACAAGATATACAGTTGTATATTATACAGCCTTTCTCTTCAACAGTTTAGAACATAAAGATTTTATTTCATGACTTAAGTTTAGTTCAGATGGCATGTTAATATGATAAAGACTGGGAAAAAGGGAACAAATTCATGCAGCTTGAATTACTATAAATTGTGCATAGTAAGAAGTATTTGTTTTAATAAAAAATATTTATAAATTTATTTATTAATATACTGCTGGCCACCGTAAATGCAACACCCTAAAGGAAGCATGCAAATAACATGAAATTTACAACATTTGTTAGCGGAGGTGAGGTATGCAAATGATTAAAATTTCAGCACAGATGCACATAACGCGCGTCTGTGGCACCACTTCAACGTGCTACTTAAGGCGTGGAGTTTTCGATGATTCCAAGTTCGGCATTGTGTTTTTCTTGTGGTTTTCCTAAGAAAAATGAATTATGCCTCGTAGTAAACAGCGATCGTTGTTTGATCAAGTATCCGAGTTCGACAGAGGAAGGATAGTGGATTATATTAGGATAGTGGATAGTGGACACCTACCGAGAGTGGATTATATTTCAGTGACTGATCGCTCAGTCACATCACGAAGCATAGCACAGCACATTCACTCTGTAATGCATCATCCAGTGTCTGCGTGTACCATTTGACACTGTTTACAGCATGCAAGACGTCCATTGCTTCGTCTATCCTTGACGCAGAACCACAGACATCTCCGCCAACAATGGTGCATCGAAAGAAGGATGTGGACGACAGAATGGAATGAAATTGTCTTTACTGGCGAGTCATGCTTGTCTGCAACACCACAATGGTCGGATTCCAGTCTGGAGACACCATGGAGAGAGGATGCTGAACAGTTGCGTTATGCACCGTTACACTGGTAGTAGTATGAAAGTATGCGTATGAAAAGTATATTGAAAAGTATGCGTAGTAATCTTCATTCATCGACAATAATGGAACATGATAATATCACACTTGCCATCTATCAAGGCAAAAGAAACAAACATGTTTTTCTACTGAGCTCATCACATTCTACAGTAAAAACTGAAGACAGTCTCAAGAAGTTGCCCGATTCAATAGCAGTTTAAAACACAACAAAGTATGGTGTGGATATTCGTGATCAGATGTGAAGAAAATATTCAGTTAAATCGATATCTAGATGATGGCCTGTACATATCTTTTTCAATATTTTGGATCACACAGATTTGAATGCCTAGATAATTTGAAAAAGTGTAACAAGAAATGCCATTAACAGGAGAGATTTTCTACTGAAATTAGGAGAGGAGTTAAGAGTGGTATATATGGCTTCAAAACTCTCAAAGATCCTTTCTGAGTCTTCAGAAAAAACACATGAAAAGAAAATGGACATAAAGAGAAAAAAGTGTCAAGTACAGAGATGCAATGGAAACAAATCTCAAGAATAATATTGTGCATCTTGTTCCAAAGTTGTGTGTGGAAAATGCACTGGAAAAATTGTTAAATATTATTTTTGTACCAACTGCATTAATTATTAATATGTATGTGTAATCTCTAATACTTTAAACATTAAATAAAATTGAAATGAAATGCTTTACATATTCCATTCAGCTACACATATAATGATGCAACTAAAAAGTCAGAGAACATTTCTCATTTCTGGATTTAGAGAGTGAATCATCCTTTGAGTAAGTACATAAAAAATATTATTATATAAATTGTGTTTAATTTTAGTTAACATTAGTTTCAATTTGTGAAACCATTTGAGTAATTGTAGTAGGATCCAATTGATCGCGCCATGTATTCGATACATTTACAGTATTTTAAAAAGTCAATAAATTATCATGTGATATTAAATATAAATTATGAAATATATATAAAGTACATAATTGTGCCAATGTATGGCATTTAAAATTGTTTTACCATTGTTATTTCAGTACATTCATCGAAAGGTCAAAATGACCCCTTAGAGCCATTCCAGTAGGTAAGATTTTCCCCACCGTTCTAATGTTAAAAAAGAACTTACTAGAACTAGAAGTGAGGAAAGGCATTAGTGTATTGGACTTCTGTGGATTTGTATAAACCCAAACATCTCCTCAAAGAGAAATGGAGCTGGAAGAATGTTTAGCATTATTAGAAGACTGAAAAAATTACACAAATTTGAAGATTATGACCTAGTCTTTAGAGAATGGCACAGAGAGAATGTCATACACAAAGTCTCGAGAAAGGAATTAGAAGAAGTAAAAAGGCCACTACTTGCCACCATCCAGTTCTGAAGCCAGAGAATGTCACTACTTCTGTTATGCTAATTTTTAACACCTCATGCAAATCTGAAAAAGCACCATCTCTAAATGACTGTCTCTTCAGAGCGTCTAATTTTATTGAAGAAATTCTGGCTATATTTGAGATTTTTATGGTGGGAGAAGTTAAATAACGTTCAAGTCTATCAGCCTAACAAACAGGTGAATGGTGTCATCTGCAGCCCATTTTGTGAAAAGGCTAGTGCTGTTGTATACAACACTACAAGAGCCTTCCTCTAAATTGAAATACAGTACAAAGTCTGTAATCCGGACATCCATTACCCGGAATGATCTATAATAAGGACCTCTAAGCCACAAACTTTAAGCATGCGCGCAGAGAATGCGCATACGTTACGCATGCGCGTAAAGAATGCTTTACGCATGCGTGCATTGAAAGAAATGTTTAATAAAGTTAACAAATAAATATTAAGCATTTTTTTGGTAAAATTTGATACCCTTTAGATCATAATTGCTCTTTATTTCATAAGTTACGGTTTCATATTTTTAATTGTATAATTTCTGCATGCCATCTTACCAGATTTAAATTGATGATCCGGAATCTCTGAAGTCCTGACGAGTCCGGATTATAGACTTTGTACTGTATAAGAAAATCTCGAATTTTTGAGATTTTTATGATGGGAGAAGTTAAATAACATTCAAGTCTATCAGCATAACAGAGGGAGTCATCTGCAGCCCATTTTTACTCAGCGTAGTTATTCAACTAAGTCAGAATGGGAATCTCCACTTCCAGAGCAGATTCTAAAGGACTTTCAGAAATGATACAGTGAACTGACACAATTATCCAACTTACAAATCAAAAGACATATAAGTTATGAAAGTAAAGAAAAATGGTCCACATGTTTTTTTTATGATGAGAGTCACAGCAATTTTCTGACACCAGAAATCAGAGAAATATGCAACCTCATGGAGTCACACCAATGGAATCTTGTCCTAAGTAATCTAAATACTGCGGATCTGCCATCTCGTGGTTGTAGCCCTAAAAATCCTATGTGGACAGGTTGGTGGGAGGAACCAAAATGGTTGAAGGGTGAAGAAAATAATTGGCTCTAGTTAGAACAGGTTACTAATGAAGATGTAGTTATGTTGGAAAGAAGGAAAACTGCAGTATCATTATTTACCTGTACAAAAGTAGATGAATTTATGAATTATGAAAGAATTTCAAAATTCTGTAGGTTTGTAAATAGTATTTGCTGAATGAAAAGATTCATATCAAAATGTAAAATAGAAATTATGCTTTTCCATCTGAACTTTCTGTTGAAGAAAAAAAAAGGACACACAGGACTTTGTGTAGTCAAGAATTCAGGTAGAAAGTTTTGGTGGCATCTCCGATACTGTCAAAGGATTCTCATTATGAAAGATCAAAATAACATAATACGATTCTTCCACTTGATCGAATCAGGGACTTGAAAGTTTTTTAAGTTGTGGACATTGATTTATGTGGTCCTCTCTTTCTAAACAACAAATTCAGCGTATGGATTGCCATTTTCACATGCTCTGTGTACCAGACATTTGAAGCCTGCTTTGATGTTTGTCTCTACACCTCACACTACCCATGTAAGTTTTAAGTTTATTTTTTCAGGATTGCCCTACACAGTGAATAAGTGAAAGAAGCTTTTATTAGCAAAACATGTTACATTTTGAGCCTCCGTATGTCTGGTAGACATCTTT